TTTTCTGCATTTCTAGTCCAATATACAACACTGCCTCTTTTCCAATTTCCCTTGCATGCTGGCCACCAGATATATCACAGTAGACACACTGGCCACCACCTCTGGAGAACAGAGCTCAAGATGGTGGCTGAGATAGCCTGGTAAGAAAGAGCAGCTCGGATAACCACATGGGTAGCTGTTTGTGTACACAAGAATACGATCATCTTTACAACTGGCACCAGAACTCCTCCTAGCTTTGGTTTAGGAAAATATCTTGAGAAAATATTTGGGGTAGAAGACCCCCCACAGGTAGGAATAGCAGAGGATGGGCATAAAAATAACAGGAAACAATACAGGAATTTGGAGGTGAGGGAACGAACAGCAAAGAAAGAAGGAAGAGGAGAGAGCTAGAGTATGGTAGAGTATGGCCAAGAAATTTATAGTTCAACCAAAATTTCAGGACAGGGATGGATGTCTAACATGTGAGTTAAGCTGTCTAAAATTTAAACCTCCTCCAACTTCCTAAACCTTCAGTAAAGTCTCTGACATTCACCTTGGTGGGAAGGTGCTGAATTGCACGCTTGGGTCAATGACAGAACAAACATAAAGCTCGACCACAAGATGTGGGGAGAAGGGGTAGATTGGAGGTGGGAGGCCTTGGAGGGGAAGAGATGGGAAGAGACAAAAATTTTAGGTAGGCAGACCCAGAGTGTCCATGAAATTATAAATTTCCCAGGAATTCACAGAAGTGTTAGGGAGAACGTTGCACTTTTCACAGGGCATGCAACTTCAAGCTAATTTAATCTAACATTTAGAGGGCAGGAAAACCTCTGCTGGAATATGGTCTATAGGCAGTTTCTAGAAAAAATAGCTAAAAGGAGAAGTTTCTATATGACAGATAGACTACCATCCCAAGAACGTAATGATCATTTCCAGTAAAGGCTAGATGTGCAACTAAGTATTTCTAATTGTATGATCTTCCTCTAAAACTGTTCTATTACATTTAACCCAAAAAAATCAAACCCGTTGTCATAAGTTGATTCTGACTCATAGCGACCCCATAGGACAGAGTAGAACTGCCCCATAGGGTTTCCAAGGAGCAGCTGGTGGATTCAAACTGCTGACCTTTTTGTTAGCAGCCGTAGCTCTCATCCACTGGGCCACCGGGGCTCTGTATTTAGACTCATGTTGAAGAATATATCTGGATCACAGAAGAAGCTATTCTCAAGTAATTGTGACACTATAGAAGGTTTTCGCCAAGTCAGCTACTTTTTAATCTTTTTTTTTTTTTTTAAATAGTATCTTTTTCTCCAAATTTCTCCTATTTGGGACTTCCCTTCTGCATTCTGGATTACCCAGGCTCTTTCCCCGAATCCCTTCATCAGAATAAAACAGTAGACTTTCTGTTACAGTTTTTTTTTCTGCTTTTTTTTTTTCATTGTTGTAGTTTAGATGAAGGTTTACAGAACAAATTAGCTTCTCATCAAACAATTAGTACCCATATTGTTTTATGATATTGGTTACCAACCCCACGACATCTTTTCATCTACTTTTATAGAGGGAATTATATTGCAATTATTTAGAAAATGATCATCCTGCTTATCTGTTCATAATATGCTAGATCTTCATATGTATGTTGATCATCAGAGAGAAGGTTCTCTCAGTTAGTTGACTTGCAGGCACCAAGCTGACCCAACAGCATCATCAGAAAGATGTGCTACCCTTACAGTTTGGTTGGGCTTCGATAGCATCTAATCAGTATATGCAGGTTTGGTTGGGCTCCAGGTAATGCTACTCTCTTAATCCTCAGAACAAAACTATGAAGTAGGAAGAATATTTGAGCGTTAAGAGGCCAAAGAATGACAGGCAAGAGTTGTTAGACCAAAAAAAGGATAAGGGAGAAGGTCAGGTTTGGGCCTTAAGCTCCCCCAAATATGTCAGTGGGTCCTAGTACAATACTCAGGATAAAGGAGTGACTTAAACAAAAAAAAAAAAAAAAAAAGAACACCTCTCTATGGTGGTGAGAGATCAGATATTCTTAATTCTAGAGGAGATAAGCCTCCTGAAATCTAGCTAATGGCTAAGGGAAACTGAGAGAATCTTCTGGAATCTATAAGAAAGTTGTTGTTAATTGCTGTCAAGGTGGCTCCAGCTCATGGCGACCCCATGTACCACAGAACAAAACGTTGCCCAGTCCTGCACCATCTTCACAATTGTTGGTACACTCGAGTCCAATGATGACACCACCGTGTATTTTAAGTGCCTTCCAACCTCGGAGGCGCATCTTCCAGCACGACAGAGGACAATATTCTTTTGTGATCCATAAGGTTTCACTGGGTAATTTTCAGAAGTAGACTGTCAGGCCCTTCTTCCTAGTGTCTTAGCCTGGAAGCTCTGCTAAAACCTGTCTACTGTGAGTGACCCTGCTGGTATTTGAAATACCAGTGGTACAGTAATCAAAATAGCCTGGTACTGGTATTACAACAGACACATAGACCCATGGAATGGAACTGAGAGTCCAGAACTAAATCCACACATCTCTGGTCAACTGATTTTTGACAAGGGTGCTAAGTCCATTTGATGGGGAAAGAAGAGTCTCTTCAATAAATGGTGCTGGGAAAACTGAATTTCCATACGCAGAAAAATGAAACAGGATCCATGCCTCACACCATACACAAAAACAAATTCAAAATAGATTATTGACCTAAATGTGCAAACTAAAGCCATAAAGTTCTTACAGGAAAATTCAGGGGCAACATTGTTGGGCCTAGCCTTTAACAATGGATTGTCTAATATAATAACAGAAGCACAAACAGCAAAAGACAAAATAAGCAAATGGAACCTCAAAAAAATTAAAAACTTTTGTTTATCAAAAGACTTTACCAAAAAAGTGAAAAGATGAGCTACCGACCGGGAGAATATCTTTGGAAACCATATATCTGACAAGAATCTAATAACAAAAAAATATATAAAATATCAACAGCTTAACACCAGAAGGACAAATAACCCAATCATAAAATGGGCAAAGTACTTGAATAGACATTTCATCAAAGAGGACATTCAGATGGCCACCAAACATATGAAAAGATGCCCAACAGAGAAATGCAAATCAAAAGCAAAATGAGATACCATTTCACTCCCACCAGGGTGGCTAAGATAAAAAAAAAAAACAGAAAATAAGAAATGTTGGCGAGGATGTGGAGAAATTGGAAACTTTATCCATTGCTGGTGGGAATGCAAAATGGTACAGCCTTTGTGGAAAACAGTGTGGCGGTTCCTTCAAAAAACTAAAAATAAAATTACCATATGACCCAGCAATTCCACTCCTAGATATATACACAAAAGAATTGAAAGCAAATACTCAAACAGAGACTTGTATACCAATGTTCATTGCAGCACTGTTCACGATAGCCAAAAAGTGGAAACAACCTAAATGCCCATCAACGAATGGAGAAACAAAATGAGGTATATAAATACAATGGAATACTATTCAGCCAGTAGGAGAAATGAAGTCTTGATACATACTACAATATGGATGGAGCTGGAAGACATTATGCTGAGTGAAATAAGCCAATCACAAAAGGGCAAATATTGTATGACCTCACTTATATAAAAAGACAAGAAAAGGCAAATGTATAGAGACCAAAGTTTATGAGTGGTTACCAGGGGCAGGAGGGAGGGGAAAAGGGGGAGGGTTAATGGTGATAGAAAATTTGCATTGAATAAGGGTAGGGTTGCACAGTTGATTATTGCAATTGCTGTAAATAAGTTGTACACCTATAAAAAGTTGAACAGGCAAAAGTTGTGTGATAGATACACTTACAACAATGACAAAAGAAAAAAAAAAAGAGTAGCTGCTAAGGCTGTTTATGTACAACCAAACACCTCATGGGATCTGGTTCTTCGGTTCGGAGGTTAGTGTTATGGATTCATGGGACACCCCAGTTAATTGGCCTAATAATGTGTTTAGTGCTTCTGGTCTACCTCCTAGTTCATTGCGTAGTACCTGAGGTCTTAAAAGCTTGCACGCGGCCATCCAAAGCACAACAATTGGTCTCTATTTGCCTGGAGCAACAGAGGAAGAAGGAGAGTCAGGAACAGGAGAAGGAAATGGAATGCGTGGCCAACTGCCTCCATGAACAACTGCCTCCTCTGCCATGAGACCAGAAGAACTGGATGGTGCCTTGCTGCCATCACTAAACGTTTCGATCAAAGATTCTGTAGAAGAATCCTGATCAAAAGAGGGAAAATGCAGAATAGAATTTCAAAATCTCAGGGACCCCAGACTTTCTGGAGCCACAGAGGCTGGATGAGCCCCTGAAACTATTGCCCTGAGATAATCTTTAAACCTTAAACCCAAAACATCCCCTAAAGTCTTCTTAAAACCAAACAATAGTTTAGTTTATCTAGTAAAGAATATCTGCCTGGAGCATTACACCCTTTTAAGAACGATCTATATGGGATCAAAGTGACGACAACCGGAAAGATCAGACAGGAACCTCAGGGGGCAGTGAGTTTCTGTTAATGGGGGAGGAACAACTCAAGAAAAGGAGAGCGAGATGGCTGCACAACTCAGTGTGATCAATGTCACTGAACTGCACACGTAGGGACAGCTGAACTGATATCTACCAACGGCGTAGCTTCCAGTGTCACAGCAACATACAAGCCACAACACTACGACAAACTGACCGACGGTGGGAGATAAGAAAGTAAAGTCCCCAAAAGACGTTCTCTTCTGTAAAGAGGGAACAAGATGTACAGGAAAAACACCAAGGACTGATTAATAACGTGTTTTCCCCAAAGATACGGTGTTCCTGGTAGCTGTTAATTTTGGAGTTCCATCACATATACTGGAACCCTGTGGCACAGTGGTTAAGTGTTTGGCTGCTAACCAAAAGGTCAGCCGTTCGAATCCACCAGCTTCTCCTTGGAAACCCTATGGGACAGTTCTACTCTGCCCAATAAGTGTTGCTATGAGTCGGAATCAACTCGAAGGCAATGGGTTTAATGGGTATCACATATACTTAGATTTTTACATAATAAGAGTTCCTGTTTGAGCTTAAGCTGCGACTCAGACATGTCTGGGCATATCTGAAGAACTGGAGGCCGGACAGGCCTGAAGCCAGTTTGCACAGAGCTGGAGGGGCCTCCCGAGAGAACATGCGGTGAGGGGAGGAGGAATCTTGAACCAGTTTGACCTACAACAAAGCCTCAGTCACAGGAACGGAGGGACATTTCGTCTTATTTCGCTGAAAAACAAAAAGCTGTTGTGGTTGAGTCGATTCCAACTCATAGCGACCATATAGGACAGAGCAGCACTGCCCTGTAGGGTTTCCCAGGAGCGGCTGGTGGATCCGAACTGCCGACCTTTTCATTAGCAGCCGAGCTCTTAACCGCTGTGCCACCAGGGCTCCTGCATGTGGTAGGTTCTCCGAAAATGTTGCCCTGGTTTCAGAGGTGATATTCTGGGAGCACTCAAGTAAAATCTGTTTAGAATGTGAAGTTTTCCAAATATACACAGTTAGACCGCCTCGATGGCTTGTGACTTTGACCCCTTACCAAAACTGTTTTCCAAAATTGTGCTATGTATGGTTCCACTGTAAAGGAAGAAAAACTGTGATTGCAATCGCGTCCTGGAGTTTGAAAGATGTCCTAGAGTACTCACTATTATTCTCTTTCATTTCACAAAAGGTCCCGAGACTTTTCTGAATACTAGCAGAAGATGCTATCTCAACGATTTCTTGTCTGGTGCCCTGCATCTACATGAACTGACCAGACAGGCAATTGTTTTAATAGTTCTAAGGGAATTTATCTGAATGCATATCAAAGAACATAGCCATGTCATGAAGTCAACCTTCTACATGCTCTTATTTTCTCTAAATCCAGTACTTTACTTACATAAAAATTCCTCAGACTACAGGGGCAAGGCTGGCTGTTTAAAGAGAAGGTGTGGGGAGAGCTAAGTTTGTGGGTCACAGAGAGCGTGCTGGCGCTTGGGGCAGCAGGGCACGAGTCTCTGATTGGTCATTCCTTAGAAACAGAAAAAAAAAAAGAAAAAAAAAGAAGTGTGCCTTTATTAAGATATACCCCAATATCTAATAGGAGGAACATCTCTTTGTCTATCAGACACCAGGGAAGCAAGTGTCCCAAAGCTCTGTCTGGGACAGGCACCCATTATTCGTTGCCATCGAGTCGATTCCAACTTATAGTGACCCTATAGGACAGGGTAGAACTGCCCCACAGAGTTTCCAAGGAGCACCTGGTGGATTTGAACTGCTGACCTTCTGGTTAGCAGCCATCGCTCTTAATCACCATGCCACCACGGTTTCCAAGTAGGATAGGCAGTAAACCCTGCCTTAGGACTTGCTTGACTCCCAGGGACGATGCCTCTCCCAAAGGCCAGTTCTCTTTCCATCAGATTCTCTCCTGGTAGGTAACTCATCACCCCTGGGGGTGGGGGACCATGAGGAGGAGGCAGAGACACCAGCTGGGAATAAAATGCCTTTTCTGAGAATGAAGCTTTGAAATGATACTAGAAGTCGGTGGGGCCGTAGAATTCACTGTACAAAACTTCTTTTTAAAAACACAGTCTAACACAAGCGAGACAAAACTGGATGAGAAACAAGAATTTAGGTAAATACTGTAGTTAAATTCCGAGCCCTGGTGGTGCAGTGGTTGAGAGCTTGGCTGCTCTCCAAAAAGTTGACAGTTTGAATCCACCAGCCCCTCTTTGGAAACCCCGTGGGGCAGTTCTACTCTGTCCTACAGGGTTGCTATGAGTCGGAATTGACTCGACAGCAACAGGTTTGGTTTTTCTACAGTTAAATTCTGTAAGCATAAAGCTATAATTCTGGATCATCACATTTATTTAAAAATCCACAGTTTCATCCCATCGTATTCCTTTGGTATTGCCTGGGTCTGGTAAGACTAGGGACCCACCACTCCCCATTCTTACTGATAGGATTAGATCACCAGCCCCTGTGATATCTGCAGCACATTTAATAGTCACACATTCCTCCTCTCTCTGGATCCATGTCCTTACAATGGGATGCTGCATAGCCTCTTGTCAAGAGGTGAAATCTATTTCTCACCCCCGGAATCTGGGTTGGCCTGTGACTTGTTTTGGCCAAAGGGACATTAGCAGGCATGATGCCAACACAGGCTTGAAAATCACTCGTGGATTGGGGCTTGCTCTCTTGCTACCTTTGTTACCCTGAGAACACCATGTGAACAAGCCCTAGGCAGCCTGCTGAAGGATTAAAGGCCACATGGAGAAGAACCGAGGTATTTCAACCTACTGCGAGGCTGGTGAATGAGGACATCCGGGGCAAGCCAGCCTCTTAGTCGACCTGCAAATGACTGCAGACACATGAGTGAGCCCAGTCAAAGCCCGCAGAAGAACCACCTAGCCCAAACTGCCCAGCTGCAGAATCAGGAGCTAAACAAATGCTTATTGTTTTAAGCTGTTACGTTTTGGGATGGTTTGTAATACGGTAAAAGCTAACAGATACATGCAATTATATTTTATTTTAAGCTACTAGGTGACACACGAAAAGTTAGAGAAAAGGTTCTCTCTGGGCCTAATTCTATCACGGGCTCTCTCTGCTATTTAACTTCCTCCTCTGTACTTCAGCTTTTCTGCCTCAAGGAAAGCAATACTTTCATGAAGGCAGAAATTCTAATTCAAATTACGCTTTTCACAATTCTTTTCCTCTCTTCCCCTCAATAACTTCACCACTATGAGGATAACATTCTGATGTGTGGTCTTTCCAAATGGGATAATAATGTATGTTAAGTGCTTAATACACTCCAAAATGTCATATGTGTGAAGTATCATAACTACTGTTTGACAATGAGTACCCATTGCCTTCGAGTTGATTCTGACTCATAGCGACCCTGTAGGACAGAGCAGAACTATTCCACAGGGTTTCCAAGGCTGTCATCTTTACGGAAGCAGACTTACACATCTTTCTCCCGCGGAGTGGCTCGTGGGTGTGAACTGCCGACCTTTTGGTGAGCAGCCGAATGCTTAACCACTGCACCGCCAGGGCTCTTTTTGACAGGGAATAAACCAAAACCAAACCAAGCCTGTTGCCGCTGAGTCGATTTTGATTCCTAGTGACCCTGTAGGACAGAGTAGAACCTCCCCATAGGGTTTCTAAGGAGTGGCTGTGGATTTGAACTGCCGACCTTTTGGTTAGCAGCCAAGCTCTTAACCACTGTGCCACCAGGGCTCCATTGACAATGAACAGAGTTACATCATTGTTCTAAAAACCAGAATAGCCCTCTTTAAGAGTTGCTCCTTCTCATTTAGAGTCCCCGGTCTGTCTGTTCAGTACCACCCGGTAGCAAGTTTCCCGACCTACCTGAGACTTGAAGTAAGTTTCTTGCGGGGTAGCAAGTACGTCTGCAGATGCGATGTCTAAATGCATAAGCGTCTGCCGAAAGGAAGGCCGGTTTCGAGGTTTGCTCTGCCTAAAAGTAAGAGTATCGCATTTCAGAAGTGCGCCCAGGAGGAGGAAGATTTTGTATTACTTTATGCAAACATTTTTGGCTCTTACTTTCTGTGCACGGCTACATCTCAGACAGTGTTCGTGTGTAGAAGGGCAAAAGGAAAATGCAACTAGGCGATCCTTCTAGTGGCGAAACAGAAATCTCTGGGTTCAGCCACACATTGCCTGATAGCCCCTCAGGACCAGTAAGACAATAATAATACCATTTGCTAAGGCCTCATATGTCAAGATATCACACCAAATGCTTTACTTAAAAATTTTAATCACCGTAACGTAGCTCTATGAGTAGGTGTTACCCCATTTTACAGATGAGAAAACCGATATGTGGATGACATGCCCAAAACCACACAGAGAGAAAAGGATAGAGCTAGGATTTGAACTCAAGTTTCTCCAACACCAAAGCGCTTCATCTTTCCACAGCCAGGTGACTCACTCCAAACACACGCTGAGAACTTCCCTGCTGTTTCAGAGAAATTTTATATGGTTTTGAGGAAGAAGGAGAAAGGGAATATTGGGGAAATATATTATTTACCATGTCTGTTTCATAAGAATTTTGAATCCATCTGGGCAAGTGGAAGGAACTGGAAGGTGTAGGCTATTGCTTCCAACACCCCAGATAATGGCTGACGAGTCCACATCTTTGTAAGGGATCTCTCCGGTCAGCAGCTCCCAAAGCACCACTCCAAAAGACCTAGGTAGTCCCAGGAACACACAGACAAGATAGTCAGAAAGACTAACTTGTGGACTCATTTGCATTTTAGTTCTTTTAAAAATTTTAATCAAATCAATAGAGATATCCAACTAAAAAATGTCTAATACTGCTATAAGACAAACAGAAATAGGCAGGGAAACTCTGAAAATTAGTGAGGGGTAAGCAGCACTGCCAGATATTAAGCCATATTCCGCCCTCAGTAATGAACTCCGGTGCGGGAATAGACAGCCAGGCTAATGGAACGGGATGGAAATCCAGAAATAGACCATTTAGATATAGGAATTGAGTACACGATAGAAGTGACATCTCAAACCAGTGGGAAAAACAGATTATTCAATTAGTGCTGTTGAGACAACTGGGTAGCTAACTGGGGAAAAAGAAATGGAATATATATCTCCTCTTACATCAAGATAAATTTCAAAAGAATCCAAGATTAAATGCAAAAAAATAAAACCATAAAAATCTTAGAATAAAACAAGGGAAGTTTTTTTCAGATAATCTTGGATGAAATCTAGAAGCCACAAGGAAAGATTGATAAACTGCATTAAAAAACAGAACAAAACTCCGGCATGGGAAAAAAAAAAAACACCATAAGCAAAATAACCAAATGTGAAAAAGATTTACCATCCATATTTACGAAAGGCTAGTCTCTTTAATATATAAAATGTTCTCACAAATCGACAAGAATAAAGGTCAGAAAAATGAACAAGGATGTGAACAGTGTACACATAAGAAATGGCAGACAGCTGTTACGCGTATGAAAAGATGCTCAACGTCACTTATAATAAGAGCAGTGCACCCAAGATACCATTTCTCACCGATCTGATTAGCAAAAATCCAAAAGTGTGTCACCATATTTGTGGGTGAGACTGGGAAAACATTCTTATACATTTCTGGTGGGAACATAAATTGGCATAAGGCCTAAGGAAGACGCGTTACCCAAATTACAAATGCTAATTACAAATGGTTCCACGTTGCCACTTTATCCTATTTTACTCTGTTAAATACGATTCTAACATATACTATTATCTTTGCATAGGAGTTCCTGGGTGGTGCAAATGGTTAATGTGCTCGGTTGCTAATCAAAAGGTTGGAGGGTTGAGTTCACCCAAAGGCTCCTTGGAAGAAAGGCCTGGCCGTCAACTTCCGAAAAATCAGCCACTGAAAACCCATGGAGCACAGCTCTACTCTGACACACGGGGTTTCCATGAGTCTGAGTTGACTCGACGTGTTATTTTGGTTTTAAGCCTAAAGTTATTAGTAGCCAATTCTAAGGACTGAAGAAAAACAACTACAAGCAAATACACTGTTGACATTTAGCAAAGCCTTAAAATTTCAGAGAAAATTTGATAAAGATTTTTTTAAAAAGCGCCCTCCCCCCCCGCAATTGAAAGCTTAAAAATGGAAAAAAAACTTAGCTCACAGAGGCTCTTCAATAAAAGGGCAAGCAGCCATATACACTTTCTATAGGTCTAGAGCACATAACTGTATCACAGCAATGTGTATTACTGATATGTATAATGATGGCCTAAGCCATCAAGAATAGGTAATCCAAGTTTAACGTATTTTACTCAAGAAAATGAGAATCATGATTATTTGAAGAAAACTTTCAGTTTTCCAGAAAGTTCAGCGTATTCTCTGAGGGTCCCACATACGGATGATTTACTAAATAGATATCCACCCTAACTCCCCTCCCAATCCTTCTTACCATATACCATCAGACTGGGCAGCACCTCAGATAATATGAGCCCAGAATGAACCGGAAGTGAGCAACACTAAAGAATATTCTGGGAAGTACAAGTGCTGAAAGGGTGGAAGCAAGAAAAGGCGCGCGAGCTGGCACAGGTGGCGCCACTCACCATATATCTACTTTTTCAGAGACTGGTTCATTCCTTATCACCTCTGGCGCCATCCACGCCACTGTGCCTGCGAAGGACATCTTGGTACTTTTATCGCTGAGTTCCTTAGACGTACCAAAATCTGAAATTTTTACTGCATCTGTGTGAGTCACTAAAACACTTGAAAACGGAACGAAGAAGAAAACATTAGATCGTTAGCACTAATGAAAATCATGACTCTAAATGGCAACTGAAGATGTTCGCTGCTTCCTGTCTTTCAGAACTCAGCCTGCAGTTTCCAACGGCAAACACTGGCTATACACAGTGTGGACACCCAGGATCTGGAGCCCTGGTGGTTCAGTGGTCAAACGCTTGGCTGTGAATGGAAAGGTCAGTGGTTTGAACCTACCAGCCGCTCTGTGGGAGACAGACATGGCAGTCTGCTCCCCTAAACATTACAGCCTTGGAAGCCCTATGAGGCAGCTCTACTCTGTCCCATAGGTTTGTTGAGTTGGAATCGACTCGAGGGCAGTGGGTTTCTTTTTTTGGAGCCCTGGTGGGACAGTGGTTAAGAGCTCGGCTGCTAGCCAAAAGGTCGGCCGTTCAAATCCACCAGCCGCTCCTTGGAAACCCTATGGGGCAGTTCTACTCTGTCCTATAGGGTTGCTATGAGTCGGAATCGACTCGATGGCAATGAGTTTGGTTTTTTTAATACACTAGAAACAGCATCATTCAAGCTGGTGGGGCAGCACAGCGCAGCGTGTTTTTCACACCTGCATTTATCCTGCCCCCACCACTGGCTTTGATAAAGTACTTAACCCTTCTAAGGCAGTTTTCTCATGTGCAAAATGGAGACAACATAGGTCACAGTATCTTATCCAGAATTTAGAAATGCAAAACAGCTCTGAAAATGGTTTATAAATATTTTTCCATATGTATAAAGCAAACTCACTTTATCCTGCTCTGTGTGAATATCATAGGCAAGTGGCTGATCGCAGGGTGCCAGGCGATGCACTGCACTTGTTACTAAATCACCTTTCTGAAATCGTCTGGCTCCAAGAGTTTTGGATAAGGGATTATGGACCTGTAATAACCCCCTCATAGAATTTTGACTTGAATTCAATGAGGTAGAATACCTAAGGCACCCATGCTCAAAAAAGACCATTCTTGCTGGTCTCAGCATACTCGGCGCCCCCCTTCTCACCCTCCCCATTCCATGCCAATCTGCTGAGAAAACCACTTCTTTTCAAACACTGTTTAATGATGGTCAACTAAAGCCATAACGGCAACATGACCCTAGGGACTTGTTACCTTAAAAACTAACTAGTATACTGGGATTCCACTGACGTTAACAGGGAAAAGCAGGAATAAATCTAAGCTTAAGTAGGTGCCACACAAGTAACGCCTTACTTTTCGCAACAGTTACCTGAAACGTGATCTGGGGCGAACGGTTTTTGCTGGCCTTAGAGATGAATATAATCTGGTGCCAATCAAATCCAAAGTATAAACATCCCCACACACTAGACTGAATTCACTTGAAATAACCTCTTTGCAATTTCAGAATGTTAATGAGCGAGGGTTCCAGAGACTTAATGATATAAGGACCTATTTTTAATCATAAGAAAGCTTGATATTCGAACAGTGTCAGAATCGAGGAGGCTAGGAAACAGGATTGGTCCAGGACCTGGCGGCATTTAGCTCTGTAGGACACAGGGTGGCTGTGAGTCAGAACCCACTCCATGGCATCTAACAACAACGGAAGACTTCTGGATCTATCCCCTCCCTCCTCTTTGAACCAGGGAGCTCACATTCACTGCCCAGAATCTAGTGGCTCTCCTTTTACTGGACAGCTCAGCATTCACAATGGCTTTAGACTATCGTCATCCATGGAGCCCTGGTGGCTCAGTGGTTAAGAGCTACAGCTGCTAACAAAAAGGTTGGGAGTTCAAATCCACCAGGCGCTCCTTGGAAACCCTGTGGGGCAGTTCTACTCTGTCCTGTTGGGTCACTGTAAGTCGGAATCGACTTGATGGCAAGGGGTACCTGCATCCGTATCCTGGCCCTGGTTTTGCACCTGATATGGAAAAATTTACATAATTTAGGAGTTTTGATTTAATGGTGTTAAGTCTTGGTGAAAATGAGTAACGGCTTAAAATATGATGAGGTATCTGAAATAATTGAAGAACTGATGGTACCACATAACAGAAAAGGTGACAGGCCCCTGGGGAAAATAACCCTAGAAACTTCCTCTTCTGCCTGTTTTGTGCCGCCCTTTATGGGACCCGTGGGCATGGCAAGAGGGAACGACTTGGGAAGAGAGTAGAGAAGATACAATGTTGGAACGTTAGTGCAATCTTCTCTGAGACAAAGTTGGTGTCACACAGCCTGAAGGCAGGTAATACAATCGCTAGTTCTGGCAAGCCAGGCTGATCTTTGTCTTCTCAAAGTGACCTTGAAACTCAAAGAAGCCAAGACTGCTGGGAGGTGGGGGCTGCTCCCGAAAACAGGTGGAGATTCTTACTGGGTAACCAACTTCCTACTCTTTACATGACAGGGCGTTTTATATATTCCAAGATTTCCTGGCTCCTTCCTTCTAAAATTAATTCTCAAGGGGCACAAGTTAGTTAAAAAGGAGGCCTGCTCAAGAGACCTTTGGAAATATTGCATGGAATGTGTAACATACATAGCTTATGTGCACTTTGTGGATGGCAAGAGCGGCAGGCTGTTTTCAGACTGTGACCTGGAACAATGAACACTATGTAATAAAGTTAATTTGCAAGTAAAGCAGGGAGGAGGCTGAGCAGTAGCTAACCACCGTAATAAACACTACTGAGAAGTCGGGATAAACGAGAGTCGCTTTGCAACGTGTAATTCAGGACTAACTTCTAGTTTCCGTGAAGAATCAGGATTCAGTGTGAACCCCTTACCTTCACAGGATTAGGTAGGATGCCATGGTCTTTGGTCCAGAGGTTCTGGGTTCAAAGTCCCGGCTCCATGCCTTTGGGTTCTGAACCCTAGTTTCTCTTGTAGAAAATAAGAACCACGGTGCTTGTCCCGTCTATCCCTCAGAGTTTTTGTTAGGCTCAAAGCCGATGTGATAACGGATAGAAAAAAATGCCGTAAGCCATGAATGCACTAGGCCGATACGGCTTTGAAAAGAGATTACTCCTTCTCGGCTTCTCTAAACAAAATGTGATGAGAAATAACAAAAATAATGTTTTAAAATAGGGGCTACACTGAAATATACCATTCAATCAGTTCCTTTCTTTCCTTTATGCAGTTTGGGGAATGAACTCGTCTTAAAGTGGCTTCTGGCAGCCAAGGAATCGTTTTGAAAACAGAGATCACTAAAAAGAGCTCTGTGTCTCTTAAATGGCCAGTCTGTATTTTTCTCACAGACACTGTGACCTGTGTCACTTCTTCTTTCCTCCTTTGCTTAGACTCTAGGAAGCTCAAGGCCAAATTTGTAGGCCAGCTCTCATAACTGTGCAGACTTTTATGGAATAATGTCGTGAGAAAGCTGTAGTTCTAGCGTCTTATTTTCCCTTCGCCTCTGCTTCTCCCCCATCCATTTTCATCCTATTGTCTTGTATACATTTCTGAAACTCAGTTTAAAAACAAACAAACAAATATTTTTTGGAACAAGGTAGGGTGACAGCAAATCAAGCCTTCAGGGTGGGTAAGTTCAGCACTAATCATCCAAGATGATGGAAGGCGGATACATCAGATACTAACGAATTTTGATTCACAGTTGTACAATTTAAAACCAATAAAAGGCAAGACTAGTGTCAGATGCCTGGAGGCATCTGCCGTATGGTAAACAAGCGGGTCCTCAATAATCGAAAAGGCACGCAAACAGAATTACCCACCCCGCTGATTGAAACCGAACTGAAAGCGTGATGACTGGAAACTTTGACAATGGCTAATACAATTTGTTATTTCAAAACGACGAAACCAAGTGGCTGAAGGATCAGCCCCAGAACTCACTTAGGTGATTTGAGATCCCGATGGATGATTTTATGGAGGTGCAAATAATTCATTCCACTTGCAATTCCTGTGGACCAGTCTACCAGCAACCGAGGTGTGATCTTCCTGCCAGCACGCAAAACCTCGTAGAGTTGTCCGTGGGCACAGTATTCCATGATGATGCAATAACATGGGGCCTGGGTACAAACACCCCTTCCAAGAAAACACAAACATGTATAGAAACACATACATACATACAAACATACCAATATACATGCTTCTATTTTAAGGATATTTAATAAATCCATAAAAAACGATTCTCTATCCCAATTATTTTTTAAATACACAGAGATAAACTTCCTAATTCTTAAATGAGCATTAAAACCCCCCTAACCTACAGGTAGGGAGCTCTAGTCGCACAGTAGTTAAAGCACTCGGCTGCTAATCAAAAGGTTGACGGCTCAAACCCACCCAGCGGCTCTGTGGGAGAAAGATGTGGCAGTCTGCTTCTGTAAAGATTTACAGCCTTGGAAAGCCTATGCGGGCAGTTCTACTCTGTCCTGTAGGGTCGCTATGAGTTGGAATCGACTCGATGCTAGTGGGTTGGAGCGGGGAACCTATTATGCAGATAGAAAGCTTCAGATTGTTGTTCACCCCGGATACCTATGTGCTGTCCTATATCAGGTGTTTTTCTGTGGGACCATTCCATTCAGGGACAAGGAGCGCCATTTCCTGAGGTTTGTGGAAGGCTAGATATGGTGTTGTTTTAAATCCTTAAGCATAATTTAAAACGTCTTCCTTTTAAACTTGAATAGAGGGCTTTATATAGGGTGTACAGAGACAGAATTCAAACCAAACATTGCTATTTTTTATTATTATTTGTGGAATTTTAAGTTACTTATGATTCAAATAACTAACTAGACTTAGGACCGAAAAACAGCCAATTTTCTATATTATATTGTCTTTGAAAAACATTTCTGTTCAGAATAAAAATAATGGTATACAATGTATTATACATCTCTGCTGCCTATATTTCCGTGAATGTCTACGTCTTCCATGAAGCCTTTCCCGATTAATCCAGTCCAAAAAATCTTTCTCTTCTCTAAATTCCCATGATACACAGCAGCCATTAGTTCTATAAACGCACTTTTTCTTTCCCCATGTAGACTACATGTTCTTGAAGGGAGACGCCTTCAAGTCTGTTTCTGTCGGCCACAAGGCCTAGACGTTCCCAGCGAGTCCTTGACAAATAGTTCTTCACTTCGCCTTAGCTTTCTTTGCTGACAAAGGCCTCCATTCAAACATGTACAGACCTAAGGGGTAGGAGGAAGGCCACTAACAGGAAAGAATATCTTCCATTTGTCAGGCGTGTTTATATGCTTACCTAATTGTCTTGTAAGAGTCCTGGTGGTGCAGTGGTTAAGCGCTCAACTGCTAACCGAAAGGTCGGCAGTTCAAACCCACCAGCCGATCCGTTGGAGAAAAATATGGCAGTCTGCCTCCTTAAAGATTTATAGCCTTGGAACCCCTGTGGGGCAATTCTACTCTGTTCTATAAGGCTGCTAATGAGTCGGAATCGACTCCATGAGAGTGGGTTTGTTTGTTTGTTTTGGTTAATTGTCTTATTTAACCCACCCCTAAACACTGTAAAATATATACTACCTTTTCCATTTTTGCAGCTTAATCTCAAAGAAGGTATGTCACCTGTCCTAGGTGATACGACGGAGACGTGGCAGAGCTGGGATCCAACCTCAGTCTCTAACTTCAAAGCCCTTCTCACTCACTGCTCTACACGGCCTGCATTCTAGCTCTTTAACTTTGGTAGAGGTAAGCAGATTGGGGATTCCGTTACCTCATAAAAGCGGGAATAATGATTTTAATTCTACTTCATAGTTTTGCTCTGAGGATGACAGAAGAGAAGAAAAATTGCCACATGTAATTTTCTGTACCCCATCTCTTCAGGGATTGTATGTCTTCCTTTGAAACTTTCCAAACAAGTTAACTGAGTGCTGTATCTGCAACACACCCAGTTAAAGTCCTTGATCAGCTACCAGTCTGTGTCCTGTCTCTTGGATTGCTATAAGGGAAGAAAGAAATCAGAGGCCGTGGCTTGAGACTCTGATTATGTGAAGATTTTATAACCACAGCAGGTTAGGAAGAAGTATAATTAGTCTTCATTTTCTCCGCCTTGACGCGTCTGTCAAATGTCACAAAGCTATTTCAATGATTCTCCTATCATTTTCTAAGCTACTCCAAATTCTCATCTTGATTTTTAAAGAAAAAATTTTTTTTCTCAAGTTTCTGTTATTTGACTTTCAGGAAAGCTCAGTGGAGCACAAGTGTACAGCAAACACAGATAATTTAATTCTCATTACAGAGAAATTGTGAATAAGGCAGTACTAATGTGCTTACAGGAGCCCTGGTGGTGCAGTGGTTAAGAGCTCGGCTGCTAACCAAAAGGTCAGCAGTTCGAATCCACCAGCTACTCCTGGAAAACCCTATGGGGCAGTTCTACTCTGTCCTATAGGGTGGCTATGAGTCGGAATTGACTCGAGGAGAATAGGATAATGTCCTTAAGAAGGAGCTCTGGTGGCGCAGTGGTTAAACGCTCGGCTGCCAACCAAAATGTCAGCTGTTCGAACCCACCAGCTGTTTCACAGGAGAAAGATGTGGCAGTCTGTTTCCATAAAGATGACAACCTTGGAAATCTTATGGGGCAGTTCTACTCTGTCCTATAGGGTCATTATGAGTCAGAATCAACTGGATGGCAACAGGCTTGGTTTGGTAATATGCTTCAAAAAATATATAAAAACCCAAACCTGTTGCCATCCAGTTGATTCGGACTCATAGTGACCCTACAGGACAGAGTAAAATTGCCCCCGAGGGTTTCCAAGAAGTAGTAGATGGATTCAAACTGCTGAACTTTTTGGTTAGCAGCCATAGCTCTTAACCACTGCACCACCAGGGCTCTGGGGATATGCTTTAGAACATAAAAATAAATATTTGTTTGAAGGTACTCATCATCCTACTCAGCGATGCTCTAACTCATCACACAAACAGACAGAAAGGGTCTAAGAGCGGTACATTAATGCACTTATCATCTCTCCTGATTGACGAAAGAGAAGCAATCATCCCATCAGGCCTGTACTATGACAAGGCTTCTTAGTAGCTATAAATAACAGCTCTATAATGACTTCTAATTGCTACCTTTTCTTCCCCTTGACACTATATTCCATTAGGAACAATCAGTTTTGCTGTTCTTCAAAGATTATTTTTAAAAAAAGAAGAATATAGTATTCTTATCTCACACGTCCCCTTGTGTACATGGCTCTTACTAACTTCCAAAGAAGCCGTAAGCACAGAACTCAGTATTTAGAGAGAAGTACTAAAATCCAGTCATGCCCTTATGTCTTCCGGACGGTCCTGAATGTGTTCGTTGGCCAAGCAACACCGGCAGAGATGGCTGCAGACACAACGCCGCACGAGGCCCCGGGAGCCCGCCGCACGAGGCCCCGGGAGCCCGCCGCCCGAGGCCCCGGGAGCCCGCCGCACGAAGCCCCGAGAGCTCGCTGTAACTGGCCAGGGACACAGCCTCGCTATTGTCTTCCACGTCGAGGTAAAGACTATTCAAGCAACTTCAGTCTAAGAAACTGGGGGCCAGCATGGCAATACTGGGGCCCTGGTGGTGCAGTGGTTAAGAGGTCCGCTGCTAACCAAAAGGTCAGCCGTTCAAATCCACCAGCTGCTCCTTGGAAAGCCGGTGGGGCTGTTCTGCTCTGTCCTATAGGGTCACTATGAGTCGGGCTTGACTCAGCGGCAAAGGGTATGGTGACACTTGTTCAAAGCGCTTAAAACTGCACATGCAGGTAGGAGGGTCAGAAGGGTGATGTGGGAAAAGGAAAAAGCAAAAGACAGGAAGGAAAAATAAAGCTTCTCACAGCCCTCTCCTCTTAGGACACGTTTCTACCTTCAATACTCAGGGCATCCTGCCAGAAAGCCCACAACATAGTTCACGTCAGGCCAGTAAACTATGCTAATCTATAGAATATTCTGTGTCTCAAACCCAACTTCCCACTCATCTAAATTTAAAAGCTCTTGGCCCTTCCCTCCGATTAGGAGGGTATTAAAACAATCTGAAAGTGATGATCCTCTCAGTGAAGTAAAATGAAAAAAGGAAGTGGGTCTCTATTACACTGTCTGCTTAAAAACAATCCTTGTCTTGTCTTTGGTGGGAGTCTTCTCATGGTGCCACAGTTAAGCGCTCGGCTACTAACCGAAAGGTTGGTGGTTTGAATCTACCCAGAAGCCCCTCAAAAGAAAGACCTGGCCATCTACTTCTGGAAGTTTACAGCCATTGAAAACTCTATGGAACGCAGTTCTACTTTGAAATACATGGGGTTGCCATGAATCGGAATCAACTTGATGGCAACTGGTAGAGGTGGTGGTATTGTCTTTAAAATTTAGCATCATTGGAAAGATTATACTTGGTCTCTATAGCATTTCATTTTGGTCTCATATCCTCCTGGCCCTACTAGGGTAACCAGTGATAGGATCACTATAGCCGCTGAAGGTCTCACCCATGTCCTCTGCATGGATGTCCCTTCCACAAGGAAATGAATCCAAGTACTTCGGTTACTCTGTGAGTATACCAGTTGATGTTAGTCTGTTAGTATACCAGTTGAATGCTTCTCTTCTATTCAGACCTCTTTCCCTTTTCATAAGAGGTCTTGTTTGGGAATCAAAACGCAACCTGAACACTCATTTAAACCCACCCAACAAAACTCATACCCAAGGTTTGCTGATGTGGTTTCAATTATGAATTATCACATGAATTTTTAGCTTTATAATGAGAATTTGCTCATTTGTTTGCTTTTGAATCAAGGAAGGATCCCTCTTGGGGCTGGGAGTTCTTCCTAGGTTGAGGAAGGGGGATTTGTAAGTTATTCCACTTTTATCTATAGCTTCAGTGGACACACTATTCTCCAAGAATGAAAAATATATATCAAGCGTGCCAAGAAGCTCTCATTTCTAAACTTTCACCCCACCGAAAGGCTACCTCTCCTGTTCCTTTTATCCCATATAACCCTTCTCTATAGCAACACATCATTCATTAATTTAAGCCCGGGGCAAAATTTAAAGGTTGGCAAAGGAGGGAACCCAAGGAAAGGCAGGGGAGGAAGAGATTACACATATTTAGAGCTCTGCACTTCTAAGTTTGTGACTTCCACAAATACACCTATGACTCTCCCCCTCCTCCTGGGGATCTCAGTCAATAATATGAAAATACCAGCCTAGACTAGAGGGTATGTTTATCTACTCTTGAAGACAATCACTTCGTGAAGTGGACATAACACATAACTTACTATCATCGATAACTCTACTATCATTAGATGAAGAAAGCTGAGTGTTTGGTGTTACTTGAAAAGGGATTTAGCAACATCTGAGGCAGGGAGAAACTCTCTGAAGACACCTGCCATTACAAGTTAATATTTAAGAAAAAACACTAATAGAAACTAATAAAGAAAACCTGTCTATTACACAGGGCTTAGTTGTTCTCTGATCACTTCAGATATGTTAGCTCTGTTTTCTTAACTGGATTGTAGGATGTTCAGGTTATCTGGAAGTGACCTGTCATCCCATTGATAAATGAGGTAGAATCAGCCGATCTGACTGATTGATGGGAATCTGTTTCCTCCTTCCCTGCCCCCGTGAGCAGCCCTTCCAAGCTCTGGCAAAAAGAACTACTAGATTGTAAGCTCCTTAAAGACTTGACTCAAATTTAATAGTTCCTCGGTCCCTCCCAAAGCACCTGGCACAGTGCGAAGTCTATAGAGAATTCTTGACCTGTATTTGAAAGCAGGAACTTATATGTGTATACTGTGGGTTAGAAAATCTATTTCTAAGGGGAAAAAAAAAAGCCTTGACCTACTTGAAGGCGATGATGTTAGGGTGCTTCAACTTCCTCAAATGCTTGATATCCGTCTCATTCTGTTCTCTCACTTTCTTGATGGCCACCTCCTCCGCTCGGAACTTGCCCAAGAAGACAGCTCCTTGGGCTCCACTACCCAGCCACTGCAGCTCTGAGATCTCCTCAAATGGTACTTCCCAAGTATCTAGGCACACAAGCGAGAAACAAGCTTGAAGAGATCTTGGAATTTACTCAGGACCATTCTACAAGGCCACTTCAAAAGTACCAACTTCACCATTACCCAGAATGACCACTGTCCTCTGCCTCCCACCTGGTAACTCACTAAAAGTTATAACCTTCCTATGGGCCTTGGGACTATAGATGTATATTCATTTCTATCAGTTTTCAACAATTGAAATCCAAGAGATCAGAGATCTTCAATACACTCTCCTCCAAACAAAGTATATCCTGACACGCCCTCAGCCCTACCTCCTCACCTCAAGATTACAATTTACGTATCTGTTCCTACACCATGACTACTACCCCATCACCCAACAGAGGTGTTGTTTCATTGCTCTTTGGATTTCTAGTAGGGATGCTCAATGAATTCTTGCTGAATGAATCTTCAGTGATACTTTCCTCAGAACCTAATTATGCATAACACTTGTATTTGTATTCACCTCTAGTATTCAATATAGTATTACCATATAGTATTTACACAGCAGCATAATATTTTACATATGTCATGTGTTTAATCCTGACAGCAATTCTACAAGTCTAGACTTATTATGGTTATTTAAGAGAAAATGAAGGCATAGGGTGGTTAGCAACACATCCAAAGTAGTGTAGCTGGTAAGTGGCAGAAGTGGGCCCAGAACCCCAGATTTGGCTAATTCCAAGGACAGTACCTTCTCCACTCTACCTCCCACACTGACTCTCATGAAGTACTTGGGGGGGTCTTTACTCATGATGTTTACCCACAGAGCTGCAGTCTTTTCAAGTTAAAATACTGTTTCTCTTTTTCTGAGAGTTTGATTTTTTTGCACTGAAAAGTCAACAGGGGTCATTTCTAAGTGTGGTATTATTGGTGATTCCTATTATGTTCTTTATCCCTTTCTGCATTAATTTTTTTTTTTTTTACCATAAGCCTCTATTACTTTTATAATGGAAAAAATGCGTTTTAAATAAAGCACTTCAAAATTTCAATCAATGCACTTTAATCTCATGAAACCTACAGAGAAGAACGTAATCCATTGATCCTTCTTACCAGTGCAATATCACACGTAGAAATGCACATCAAAGAGCCAGGGGCCCCACGGAGTGAGGAGAAGGATGAGGACCACATTAAAGGTTATGAGAGATTCTTGTCAGACCACTAATCGCTGAAAAGCCACTGTCTGCACAGCACCGAACAAGGTGGTACTGAGTTAGCTTTGAATTGATTCTGGTCTTGAAAGCAAATCAATCCCACTCCCCGCTACGTCCACGAAACAGTGTCTAGAAGAAATATACATTTCGCTAACTTTCTCTGCCTTCAGAGAAAAAGGAACTCTACAGATTGTTAATAAAATGTAGTTTCCCATGACAATGGTTAAAACATGGACTTTCAAAACATAACTACAGAGAGAAGAAAAAAATTATAGTGAGAGTGATTTATATAGAGCATGGATGTTTTTCCCATTCCCCTGCCATGAACAATGTTAAAGGTTTCTGCTCTGGTGACACTGAATGGATGCTATTTTAAAGCAAATCTCTCTAAAATACAAATAGCTCAAACATACTAAATCACCAAAGGAACAATTGATACCAAGCAAGATTTGGGGGCAAACTAAATTACAGTCTCGACTCCTTTTGATATCTTTAGGGCTTCTAAGGCTGACAAGTTCTAGTGGTTCATGCGATCTCACATTCAGCTCCACAGACTTATTCAGTGAAAAAGAGGAAGCCCTCGAGGAGACGGACTGACACAGTGGCTGCGGCAATGGGCTCAAGCATAGCAACAATTATGGGGACGGCACAGGACCGGGCAATGTTTTGTTCTGTTGGGCGTGGGGTCGCTATGAGTTGGCACCGACTCGACGGCACCTAACAACAACAGACTTATTCACGCAGTAGACACAGCACGCAGATATTGATGGCATGCTCTAAGAGAACTTGACTCATCAGGGGGTCTGGCGAAGAAGCTACATCACTGAAACAGGGGCATTTTGACCATTCTGGAGGCTGAATGAAGTACGATTACTGGAATCTGGGAGAAGAACATAACTGAACAATATTTCTTTAAATAGCTTTAAAAAAACTCAACAATAATTTTTTATACAATAACCACTGAAATTAGACCAGTATTTGGGTGTCTTTTTTTTTTTTTTTTCTATTTACTCAGTCTTTATTTACTGTTAAATATTGCATACATGAGAAAATATTAGAAATGTTAGAAAAACACATATTTTATTTGTAATTTGACCCCATATTCACTTTTCATCTTGTCTTTATCCAGATGCTTACAGTTATGTAAAAATAACTGTACGTGATTATAAGATTTTTCTACTCTTTTCCTGTATTAGGTATTCTCTATGTATTTGCAGTTTTCATTACAAATGTTAATGGCTGTTTACTCTTTTACCTTTGTTGGATACTTTCAAGTGCTTCTGTCTTTTTGTTTTGCTAATTTAAATTGGACACTTTTTCTTTCTATTATTTCTTCAGGCTCAATCACTAGATTCAAGAGTCCAGCTTCCGGGCTCTTGGTATACATCCCAAATTGCTATCCAAAAGGATTTTGCTAGTTTCTACTGACAATAGCAATATAGGAACATGTCAATTTCACCACAACATTGCTAGCACTGTGTATTATTGTTTTTTGGTCCTAATTCAATTAGGTATAAAATAGTATTTTACTGGTTTATAAGTTTACACTGCTTTAATTGCCAGTGATATACACTATTTTCTCCATGTTTGTTTAACACTCACACCTACTTCGTGTGAATTGTTAAGACCCTTTACCCCTGTATTAGGATCTTGTAGTTCTCTTCAACTTGAAGGAGCCCTCTCTATATATTTCTTTGATACATATGAAGAAAATTAAAAAAAAAAAACAAAAAAAACTTTCTTCTTTTAATTTTATTATTTTTTGAGCAAAATATTTTTATATAGTTGCCTATCATTTCCTTTCTAATTTCTTCCACTGCCTAGTTTATCTTCTAAGAGTTCTCTATAGTTCATCTTTTAAAAGTTTAGTCTTTATATCCATCTGAAGTTTATTTCGGTGTATGGTATGAGGATGGATGTAAATTATTATTTTTTCCATAATACTATTTAGTGATTCTATAACAATATGTTAAATAGTCTGTTCTTTTCATATTGTTTTATGATGCTTACATTGGAATTTACTGTATTTTTAAATAAATAATGCTTATTATTTAATAGGAAACCCTGGTGGCATAGTGGTTAAGTGCTATGGCTGCTAACCAAAAGTTCAGCAGTTCAGATCCACCAGGCACCCCTTGGAAACTCTATGGGGCAGTTCTACTCTGTCATATAGGTTTGCTATTTAATTTTTTTTAAAGATATATGAACGAAATATTAAAATAGAAATGATAAATTCATTTAATACTCAAGTACCAATGGTTGAAGATATTATAATAAATAGTGATATTCTCCTATACTAGCCATCACTTATGCCCATGCTAGTCAGCTATGAACAACTAGGTATTAATTATTCCTGGAAAAATAAAGGAGATAGCATTGGCAATTCAAGAGCACAGAGTGTAAAATAAAGTAATACTTATAGTTCAACCACCTTTCCATCAATCTTTCATTAGAACTGATTACTAGAAGTAAAACTGATTTATATGAATGTAGTCCTCTTTGAAGGAGCCCTCGTGGCGCAGTGGTTAAGAGCTCAGCTGCTAGCCAAAAGGTTGGAGGTTCGAGCCCACTAACCGCTCCATGGGAGAAAGATGTAGCAGTCTGCTTCCTAAAGATTTACAGCCTTGGAAACCCTATGGGGACAGTTCCACTCTGTCCTATAGGGTCGCTATGAGCCGGAATTGACTAGACAGCAACGGGTTTGGGTTTTGGTTTGGTCCCCTTTGCTCCTTCCCAATGCCCCTGTCAACATCTAGTAGGCAGCCAAGGAGCAGGAAAAGGGCAGAAGTTAGTGATAAGAACATGCAGAATGGGGGCCTAGACCATGGACGAGCAAGACAGCTAACCTCAGGATCCCAGGAACTGGCTGCGCTCTCTCCAGCATCAGCTCCAGACTTTTTGCTGCTGTTTCTCTGGCCCATTTGTTCTCTTCCCCAGCTTTTACCTTTTTTTTGATTCATCACCATGACTACTATCTGAATTCCAGCGTCCACCATGATCCCTAGGACTGAGAAAAAGCCACATGCCCACCGACTTTGAGGAAGGCCGCAGAATTCTTTGTTTATTCAGACACAACCATGACAATACCCGCGTTGAGACCGGAGACCATGTGGCGATAAACGATTTCAGCCACACACGCGACCTTAACTGGGCTCCCTCACCTGGCACACAACAGGGAAGAGGAGGTCATTCCATTTTTTAAAAATCTAGCGAACTTCCCTCACAACTGCCAAACGGAGGGACCCATCTGCTGTGTGCGCTGTTCTTTGGCTGACTGCAACTCAGGGTTAAAGGTCGGCTCCCTGATCCCCGAACCGACAAGGAAAACACTACGCTTAGTTTTTGGCCCGTAGCAGCAACAGCCCCAAAGCAGGATGTCCTGTCATCTGCTGAAGAGTTAGGCAGCTGCTGGACCCTCGTAAGACTCTTCTGCTGACCAGGCCTGTTTCTTACTTATTCCTGAAATAAACCCTTCTGGAAGTCACATAATCAGTTGGAAGACATACCAAATACAAGTTTGCAGAACAATAAGAAGATGTAAATGGCTCCTTTGAACAGACACACAGGATGTCTCTGTTGCACCTCTGTATGAGTCTGACCCTGAATTTGGCTCCTGAGACCTGCAAATTACCCTCCAAATAATTACGAGGCTGGGAGATTTCATCTTGCAAGTGAAGATCCTAAAACCCAAACGTAGTTTGTGACATATACAGATATTACTAGGTTTTGTGTCTCAGCAGAGAAAAAGGATTTTTAAAACATAATAAAGTAAGAGTGGTTAGCTCTGTATTCCTACCATGCATCTGTCAGTCTGTCATGCTGGGGTGGCTTGCGTGTTGCTGTGATTCCGGAAGCTATGCCACTGGTATTTCAAATACCAGCGGGGTCACCCATGGCGGACAGGGTTCAGTGGAACTTCCAGACTAAAACAGACTAGGAAGAAGGACCTGGTGATCCACTTCTAAAAAAAATGGTGACTGAAAACCTTATGCACAGCAGTGGAACATCGTCTGGTATAGTGCCGGAAGGATGAGCCCCTCGCGCTGGAAGGCACTCAGAATACGCTCTCTCTGTATTGTGAAATGACATGTGATTTTTATTTTCCTCTTTGTGCTTATCTTTATTCCCAATTTTTAAAATAATAATATTTGTTTAACTCAGGAGTCGCCAGCCTTTATGTGATAGGAGTAATGTTTTTAATTTCCTTGAAACCTTGAGGTCAAGGAGGGGAAAAAGAGGGTGAAATGTGCAAGGCAGGGGGGTAGGTATGAAAGACAGCAAGACGGACACACACACATACCCCAGGGACGTACAAAGAATTCCCATAGGGAGGACGGGTGGATGTTGTGGTCGACAAATCCTGAAAAGTACACCTGGAATTGATACATTTACCAATAGACCCCAATATACTTACAGGGAAGGGGGACTTGTAGGAAGAGGTGGGTATGTTAGTTTAAAGGAAAATATTTCAGAAATATGATAAATAGATCGCATGAGGAAAATGGTCAATGGTTACGGACATCAACTGATTGTCGTGGAAAAGCTGTCAACAGTCTTGACTCAAAAAGATCAACAGACTTCTAACGGAGGGTCGCAGAGTCCAAAACAAACAAAACAGAATCTCACTTCTGGTTGATATTTTTTTCCCCAGGATTTCTTGACGAGTGCACTCAAAAATGGAATCACTTACACAAAGGCTACAAAAATATGTATTAAAAACTTTAAAAACAATGAACCCTTTGAACCCAACCATTCCACTTGTAGGAATTTATCCTAAGGCGTAACCAAAGATGTGTGCAAAAGTAAATTAACAGACAGGTGTTCACTGCAATGTGGTTTATGACCATGAAAAACAGCAAACAAATTAAGTGTCAAGCAACAGGGGACTGCTTAAGTAAATAATGGCACGTTCACACAATTAAACATTATACAGCCACTAAAGATAATCCTGAAGAAGTAGATTTAATCATATCGGAAATGTTCACACTACAAAGTGAAAAAATGCCGCAGAACAGTATGGTTCCATTCTTTTAAAAAGGGTACACGCAATACAAAAACACTACATAGCAGAAACATTAATGCTGGTCATCCTCAGGAGACTGGCATTATACATCCTTTTAATTTTTTTTTAACTTACCTGTATTTTCCAAATTTTCTACATATATTACTTTTGTTATAGGAAAAAAAAGTTCTTTTAAACAATGATGAATCTGCGAAGCATCTCATAACATGGATGAAACTGGAGGACATTATGCTGAGTGAAATAAGTCAATCACAAAAGGACAAATATTGTATGAGACCTCTACTGTAAAAATCCATGAAAAAGTTCACACACAAAATGTAACAATCTTTGTTGGTTACCAGGGATGGGAGGGGTGGGGGGGGAATACTAAATAGTCAATAGATAAGTGGTATCTTGGGTGAAGGGTGAGACAGTACACAATACAGGGGAAACCAGCACAACTTGTACAAGGAAAGGTCATGGAAGCCCCATAGACACAGCCAAACTCCCTGAGGGACTGAATTGCTGGGTGGAGGGCTGTGGGGACCATGGTCTCGGGGAACATCTAGCTCAATTGGCATAACACAGTTTATAAAGACAATGTTCTACATTCTACCTTGATGAGTAGCGTCTGGGGTCTTAAAAGCCTGTGAGCAGCCATCTAAGATACTCCACTGGTCTCATCCCTTCAGGATCAAGGGAGAATGCAGAGAACAGGATACAAGGAAAAGATTAGTCCGAAGGACTAATGGACCACAGCTACCAAGGCCTCCACCGGACTGAGTCCAGTACAGCTAGATGGTGCCCGACTACCGCCACTGACTGCTCTGACCAGGATCACAACAGAGGGTTCTGGACAGAGCTGGAGAAGGATGTAGAACAAAATTCTAACACACACACAAAAGACCAGATTTACCGGCCTAAAGGAGACTGGAGAAACCCCGAGAGTATGGCCCCCAGACACCCTTTTAGCTCGGTGGTGAAGTCATTTCCGAGGTTCACCATTCAGCCAGGGAGTGGACAGCCCCATAAAACCAAATGGGACTAATGAGGCACAGCAGTCCAGGCACAAGGGCTGGAAGGCAGAAGGGGACAAGGAAGCTGGTGATAGGGAACCCAAGGTTGAGTAAGGATAGTGTTGATGTGTTGTGAGGTTGTTAACCATTGTCATAGGGCAACATGTGTACTAACTGTTAAATGAGAAACTATTTTGTTTTGTAAGCTTTCATCTAAAGTGGGAATAGCAGCACAATTGGAAGAGCGTAGTCGATGTCACTGAACTGTGCATGTAGAAATTTTTGAAATGGTATATCTTTGACTATGTATATTTTCACCAAAAAAAAAAAAAGTCGAGAAGGGAGAGAGTTGACATGTTGTGGGGTTGTTAACCAATGCCATAAAACAATATGTGTACTACTGTTCCATGAGAAACTATTTGTTCTGTAAGCCTTCACCTGAAGTACAATTAAAAAAAAAAAGTTCTTTTAAAGAACTTATAAAGAACACTAAGGCCATATGTTCTCTTTACTTCAAAAGCATAACACTTGAATTAGAATACATAAATACACCTGTTTATACAATGATGAGAGTTAAAAAGTTACTTTTTAAAAAGCTATGAGGTCAAAAAAATAAAATAAAAAGCTGTGGGATCTAGAAAGAATAACCTAATAAAGCACTTCTCCAGTTTGGTTAGATACTGTGTTCTTTCCTCCAAATGTGAGCTTTTCATGTCTTGACTGTAAGAAAACACTTCCTCTTCCCTACGACCTAAGGCATCCCTGCGAGCGTCAGAGACAGCGCCATGGGGCTTCTGTCTGGCTTTGAATTAGTCTGGTGGCTATAAGATTTTTTTGATTATATAACTTATCAGTAAAAGAAAATTTGAACATGTACCCATGTCACAATTTATTTACAAATTATATATCTGTACAACTATTTTAAAATATCAAGTATACCTGAAAATAGATATTTAAAATGTGAGATAAACAAGAGACCTAATATTCTCTTCCTATACCCTTGTGGATAGTCTTGTGTATTCTACTTTGGATACCACTGAACTGGACAACGGCAAAAGATGGGCTTCTACCAAAAAAGATCCACCCAGCGTGAATCTATTTCATTTCAGAAGGCCTACCCTCTGCTTTGTTCTATAGGGTCGCCATGAGTCAGAATCAACTCAACGGCAACGGGCTACAGGAAATTGAGATGTGGTATTTATCTGGCGCTAGTTATTTATGGAGCCCTGGTGGCACAGTTGTTAAAAGCTATGGCTGCTAATAAAAAGGTCGGAAGTTTGAATCCACCAGCCGCTCCTTGGAAACCCTATGGGGCAGTTCTACTCTGTCCTATAGGGTCGCCATGAGTCAGAATCGACTCGATGGCAACGGGTTTGGTTTGGTTTTTGGTATTTCTTTAATTTACCCACAGGTCAAAATTACCCAGTTTATGGTGGTGGAGGTGGTGGGGTTTCCACAGGAAACATTTTCCAGGTCCACACTGTAGCTTACCTTGCTGTTGCAGTTTGTAATCAGTGGAATATGCCTTTCCAATGATATTCCATACAGGCCTTAAGCATCCAAATAGTCCTTCAAGAAACCCACCACTGCCACTGCCCGACCTGCTGAACTGAATTTTGATGTCTTCAGTCCCACTTGTGTTCTCCCCATCCACGGCGCGGCTGTCCCCTGGAGATACAGGCAGCTCCGACTCATCTTGTTCCCTCAGCTGAAGGACGCTGTTCTCAAACTGGTCCCTGGAATCCTCGCTTACGCTTGTCAACACTGTTGTGGTGATGGGGCTGCTCATGTTCTCAATTAGCTCTGTTCGAGCCATCCCCTTTTCCTGCAGGTCCTCCAGGAGCTTGGGTGAGGGGTGGTTCCCCACAGGGGTGAGTTCATCTTGTAGTCCACTGAAGGTTTTGTTTTCACTCAACGCTAAGTGTGGGGGAGACGAGAAGCTCAGGTGCTCCTGAGGGTTGGCCATTGTGCCATGAGTGTGCCCCAGGTCCTGAGGTGATGCTCAGAGGATTATCGGAACAGAATGCAGATGCGAGAGAGGGCTCCCAGACCTGGGGAAACAGGAGAACATGAGGTGATCTTCCCTTAGTCATCCACACCCCTACACTACTGTCTACAGTAATAAAAACACTGAAACAATGGAAGATTCGTTAGCCTGTGGTGTATCTCCACATGATAAAATACTGTGCAACGATGAAAAATCATGTGGTAGAAGAGTACTTGCTAACAAGAGAAAACGTTCATGACATATTAATATAAAAACGAAGTCTAGAACAATATATACGACAAAACCAAAACCACACCCATTGCCGTTCGGTCGATTCCAACTCATAGCAACCCTACAGGACAGAGTAGAACTGCCCTATAGGGTTTCCAAGGAGTGGCTGGTGGATTCGAACTACTGACTGTTTTGTTAGTAGCTGAGCTCCTAAACACTGCATCTCCAGGGCTCCATATACACAATATAAGCTTAAAAAAAAATTAATTTACAAGGATACACAAACATATATACAAGAAAAAAGACTGGAAGGATACTTCTAAAAAATTAACTATAGTTAATTCTAGGTGGTTAGATTTTAGGTGGTTAGATGTGGGAGGGGTTTAGAGCCTTGGAAGCCCTATGGGGCAGCTCTACTCTGTCCTATAGGGTTGCTATGAGTCAGAATGGACTTGATGGCAATGGGTTTTGGTATATTGTTGTACTTTTCAAGGTATTCTAAGCAGTCTGCATTAATATATATTATTGTATAATCAGAAAAAAATTGTTTCCCTTCCCACAAGCAAAATTAAATTGTTCTGATATACATATTTTCATTAGAAACCACACCCTGTGTCGTAATAAGTTGCTGCTTGTCTTTTCACTTTGCTTTAGTGTCTCATCCACTGGAGCTCTGCTTCGCTTCCTAAGGTGTTCGTTAAATTATGCGGATACGTGTCTTGCGTATGTGACGAGGCAATTCCTGAGATAGGACATTTGCATTTACTGTATTGCAGCAAATGAACGGCAACACAGCCAGGCCCAAGCTCTTTCAGTGTTCTCTGCTTCTGATCCATCCATTAGCACCAACTTCTCAGGGCCACCTAACCTCTGAAAACAAAGACACGAAAATGTTCTAGGTGGGCTAGATCATGTCAAATCAATTGTAAATGTATTCAAGGTACGTCTCTTCTCAGAAATACACTTTCTTTGCAAATCCTGCTGTAATAGTTCTTCTTTCCTTCCCTCTGTATTAAGCATATAGAGGGTGCTAGAGCCAGGGTACAAACATGACCTCACTCTGCGGAGGGGGAAAGACACGCCAATAAAGACCGACAGTACAGTGCTTATAATGAAGCAGCAGGTGCTCCAGAGAGGAGGGAGGGACAGTCTCAGGGATTGCTGCCTGAACGCAGTATCTTTTCATCATTTGAAGGGAGTATAGGAGCCCATCAGGCAGATAGGAAGGGGGCGAGTGAAAGAGAGAGAGGGTATGACAGACATGGGGGAAAGCATGAACAAGGGCACGGCGGGATGAAAGACTATGGAACCGATGAGAAATCTGACATGGTCAGAATGTAGGGTATGTGTGCCTGCACGGAGAAAGATAAAGAGAGACAGGCAGGAGCTTTGTATGCCATGCTAAGAGGTTGGGATTTTATCCTGATGGTGATGAGGAGCCATAGTATTGTATACTGGGGGTTACAGTATATTAGAAAAAGACAATCCCTGTTTTATCAATTTCCTATCTTCATTACTGAAACCCGTTTTAAGCCTTTTGTTTTTTCATTGCCACATCCTATGAACAGGTTGTGTGTGTGAACCAATGAAACACCCCGTCTTCAGAACTCTCATTCATTCATTCAAACATTTACTGAGCTCTTATTACATGCTATGCAATATGCTAGGCACTAATGAATGACACATAGTTTCTGTCCCTTAAGAACTTATAGTCTAGAGAGAAAAATAGATCATAACAGCTCTGTGGTTAATGTTATAACACAGGTATGTATAAGGTGTTAATGGGAGCTGAGGAAAATAAGAAAAACCATCATATATGTCCAGAGACGTCATAGAGGAAGTTTCGTTAGAGTTGTCTTGAAGGGTGAGTTAGGGGTCACTAAGAAAGAGAGGCTGGGATTTCCCGACAGTATTGGGGAGGCGCAGGAGATAACTCTAAGAAAAGGGGGACAAAGGTCAAATTAGGGTGAACTTGCATGGCAAGCTAAAGCTTTTGGATTTTATCGTCAAGATGATAGAGAGCCTCTAAGTAATCTAAGCAAGGGAGTGATTTGGTCAGGTTTGTAATTTAAAAATCATGTTGCCTACAAGCAGAGGTTGGATTCAGGGAAAGATACAGTTAGGAGGGAAAGTTCAAGTAAGAAACTGTGGGGGCCTGAACCCAGGCAGTTGTCGTTAGAGACTGCGGAGCCAACGCTGACTCATGGCACCCCACGTGTGCAGAGCGGAACTGCTCCATAGGGTTTTTGAGGCTGTGACCTTTCGGAAGCAGATCGCCAGGCCTGTCTTCCGAGGGCACCTCTGGGTGAATTTGAACCGCCAACCTTTTGGCTAGTAGTCGAGCACTTAACTGTTTGTGCCACCCAACGACTCCTAACCAGGGCACTGGCAGTGGCAATAAAGAGAAGGAGATGAATTTAAGAGACATTACTGGTAAGATCTAGTGATTGATTACACATGGGGATGGGTGAGGAAACGGGCAAGTAGAGGAAGACTTCCAGAAAACTCACACTTGGGACAATGGATAGATGGGCAATGTCATTAACCAAGATACCAGATGGAAAGAAGATAATTGTCTCAGTTATGGACATGGAGCACTTAAGGCCGACTGTGTGTGTCATGCTCTGAGCTAGGCGTTATGTTATCTGATTTTAGAAAGACACTTTGTAGACAGGGATTTGATGAGAGTAAAGATGGGGGCTCATTCAGTTTAGGGGCAGAAGTCTCAAAATAATGCAAAGGTAGATCCAAGTTAAACTTGAAAATATTAATTACATATATGCTAGCAGCTATGCCATGCGCTAGGCTAGGTTTTGTGGATAAAGACCATCACTGTTACCATTAGTACTTTTAACGATAAGTAAGATAAAGTGCTTTACAATTTACAGAGCCCTATTTACCTATACAATGATGTGCTGGTAAACCAGCTCTCCAGAAAAAAAAGACAACAATTCAATTTGTAGTGTTTACCAACTTCTCTGGTGTAAATACTCCTACTATGGCAGATTTTAAGCTAATAACAATTTTACAACCCGCTTGCAAAATTTCTGAATATTTGACATGGGCTCTGGCAAGTTGGGGTACACAAGCTCCAGCACACCACCACATATCTCATTGAATGCTTACCACAATCCTTGTGATAGTGTCACTCCCATTTTACAGAGAAGTAAAAAAATAAAAATAAAAATAAAAATTAAGGTCATATATTAAGTAGAGCAGGAATCTAGCTCAAAATTCAGATTCCTAAACTCTCTTGCTTTCTAACAACAAAATGGCAACTTACCATAACTCCCTTACTTCCTTGGAATATTTTACAGGCTAAAAAGTGCTTTTATTTGTCATCGTTGGATCTAAACATTTGAGCCCCTGTGTAAGGAAGCCAGACAGGGATGGATTACCCAGTAAGCAAGGTAAGCATGTGCTTAGGGCATCAACAAAACAGCGGTACCAGTTGTCCAAAGCAAAGACCCATAGATGCCGAGCGGACGGGACACAAGGATAAGGGAGCGCTGCAGTGGAAGGGAGCTGGCAGGGCACTAAATGGAACTGATAGCAGCTCCAGCGCGTGAGAATGTGCCGGCCGGAAATAAGTTTACGCAGGGTCATAAGGGCGCCCACACATGAGGTTGTTTAAACTACGAGGCCCCTACCACTTCAACACCTTTGTTGACATATGACTCCTATGGTCCCCTCCCGTGTAACTGAAACTCCTTATCTCGGCAGGTCCCTTGGGACTATACTATTTCTTTCTATTAAACAAGAGGTGGGGGTGGGCCGTCGAGTCTAACTCTTGCGGCATTCACCTACCAAAAATTTTATAATCCAGTTCATCTCATTCTGCTAAAATGGCATGTCACTTTGCATTCAAACGCTGATATTATAGTTGCATTTAAAAATAAGTTACATCATGGATAGCTAAGACACACATACACACACACACATACACGTGCATATATGTAACTCACAGATCCCATCTGAACGCATGTCAGTAAGCAGAGGCCAGGGCATCACAGGGCCCTCACATGCCTTAATGGGCCCCAAAGGCAGAGCATGCAAGGATTATCCCCATTTTTCACAGAAGGAAACTAACATCTGGAGAGAGGTTAAGTAATATGGCAAAGGTCACAGCACCGGATTGAATAACAGGTCATTTTTCCTACGCCCAGAACACTTCCCTGCATCACGTGGTCTTTCTAAGACGTACTTCCTCTCCTTTGGAACCTTACAGGCCACTTCAGGAGTTCATAATTACGTCTGGAGGGAATTAGAGCACCCTCCCCGGCCCTGCAATGCACCCTCTCCTCTCATACAACATCGTGAGAGAAGGGAGATAATAATGAGGGCAGGGTTGGTCAACGCTGAGTGAACGAAAGAGGCAGGACGTAAGGCGGACCTTGAAGGGAGGCCGGGCTGGAGCCCGACAGAGGAAGAGAAGTCAGGGAGGAACAGGGTATTGGCAGAGGCAGGGCAGCAAGATCAACCAGCGCACGTACGGAAGGGTTGGTAACCCCGCAATAAGGAGCTAGCCGGGTGAGGTTGGGAAGCAGTACGCAGCAAAGGAAACCCCTGTCTTCGCACAAGGGCACTGGAAGCTTGTGGAATAATGCAGACGAGTCTGCCATTTAAGTACAGCAGAGAGATGACTTCAGCTGGATGAGGTTAGGTACGAGGGATTTAAAATTCTAGGACATGGAGAAATCCAAGAGCTGGGAAGGTGCCCGTGACGGTAAGGATGGAAACGGGGGGCA